CGGGCTTTGCTTTGCACTATCGAAGTGCAATGCGTTCTCCGAAGATTGGCCTGGACCGCCTTCTACGCTAAATCCTTATTGGGAATCAGCTAGAAGTCTTTATAAATTCAGCTACTTGGGTAGTTGTATCAGCGCTGGTGAGATTGAAGATGAGATCACGAACTGCATAGCAAAAGCTCGAGGCGCTTTTGCTAACCTTCGCCCCCTATGGCACTAGCTTGACACGGTCCCCTGAAGGCTAGGGTGTACAATGCAGCGGTACCTTCTGCCCTACTGTACTTTTGTGAAACCTGGCCCCTTAGGTCAGCGACATAAAGAGGCTAGTTACGTGCGACCACCGGTGCCTTCGCAATTTAGCTCACATCTGGTGCGAACACCGAGTATGCAACGAGCGTGTACGACGCCTTGTTTACGGCACAGGAAAAGGAAATGAACCGCTCAACACGGTAAATTCACGCACCAGGCTCCGATGGCTCGGCCCCGTGTTACGCATGCCAGTCCACCGACTCCCGATTCGTACGTTGTTTGCACGTCGGGGGTGTGGAAGGAAGAAGAGAAAAAGATGACCAAGCAATGATTTGGTCGAAAGGAATGAATGCCCTCACTTCTGAGCTGGCCTCGATTTGAGCGTTTTGACTCCCTTGTTCGGGTCCGAAAGACGATGAACGCGTTTGACTGGCTACACTAGCTGATCTGGCTAAGAGCAGACCTCAATAGCTTTTGTGCGGTGAGCTTCGTTGTCTCACCCTGTTTCACTTAGCGTCCCCCTCAAAGCACTATCTCACTATTTAGCCTTATATAATTTTGCATAGTAAATTTGTTTGCTACCTAGTAGCCAGCTGGTAGCTTACCAGAAAGACACCCATCGGTTACCGGTAGCTTAGCTAGCTTACACATGTTGCGGTTATTCCCTTTTTTCTTTTATGTATTGCGGCAAAGTAGCTAAGGAGTCTCCTAACCAACCAACGTGTAGAATGGTGATGATGATGAGTGATCAAAATTGGTCCCAAGTTGTCCAATTAAGACAGTCGGCGGCACAAAATCGTTCTAACAGGAATCTCTAACAGTCACTCCAGCGGATATATGTCTGTCACTCGTGCTATGAGGGTCTGGCAAGTCCTGGATACATATGGTGTCCTTCCGAGAGGTTTCTTTCATATTATCGCGTGCTCCAAGTGAGTCTGCAATGGATGAGTGTCCCACAGGATCCTTGTCGTAGCGCATTTGAGGACAGTAAAAAGTGTTCCAGCCTAGTGGCGGATTCTAATATCACCCTAATAAGTCTTGGTTTGCCTAAGTCTGTCGAGTTTGAGTAACTTGTTATTTGCTCTAGGTTTTTGCCTTTGCCATTGACGTTCTTCAAAACGCAACGTAAGGACCACAGGTCGTGGTAGTCAGATAACTTGCCCTTTATGTAGTGGCGGCAGACTCGGGACATTTGTGGGCACAAAAGTGTTGGTGTCACTATTTGTTTCTTTTTTGGTTGAACTGCAGTGATGAGTGATCGTTGGTCCTGGCTTCTTGCTACGTGGGGTTAATTTACGGCTGTTAAGCGCAAGCCGTGTGTGCTTCAGAGCAGACCCCATGTATGACATCCCACTTGATTTACAGCCATATCAGCATCCGTGACAGAATGCTCAGGAGATTTGAATGCGACCAAATACTCTTGAGTTGCCGCTGCGGAATTCTGATGTTTGGCTTCCCCATCTTCATAAATAATAAAAGTTGATGAGGCCGGAGGAACTTAATCCATCACACTTCTTGGCTGGTGCTTGATTTTCTTGATTCTGAGTGCCATTTGACTATTAGTGCCCTGATCTGTTTCCGCCCGGCATTTTTCCAATGTCATTGGAGGACCTAGTCGATCGTGGTTCGGGTGAAGCAACTTGTGCCCCATGGCTTTGCTTAGTGACCACCACTACGTTCTGGCACATTTTGTCTCTAGTGATAGAACCCTAGCCTTCATTCGCTGTTCAACTTCTGCCGCTATCTGGTCACACTTCTGGGCTGCGATAAGAATACACTTGACTAATGGGCCGGCGTAACACGTAGTAAAAATCAGAGGACCTCTTGAGGGTTGATTTGATCTATCACTTCTCGTCGGGATGGATTTGCACACATTGAATGTTATCAATTGGAACAGTGTTAGCAGGCTAACCTTAATGTGACTAATAGATTACATACTGCCCCTAATCCATACATACATCCATACATAATCCATACATACTTGCCCCTAATCCCTTTTGGATTCGCATCTACTTGCTTTCTGCTACGCGGCATACTATCGGCACCTGACATAGTATGTTAGTGGAGGTTGTGTACTATTCCGAGTTCGGTCGGTTACGCACGCCCAGTCAGGTGCTCGGCGTCGAAAGGTCAAGTGAGGAACTACTAATGGGTGATGCGGCTTCGCGGGTCGGCGTGATGGGTTATGCTGCCGCATTACTTCACAAGGTCGCAAAGATTGGTGTTTGGTCTTGGGTTATCGAAAGATTGCAATTGAATGCTGGGGGAGCAGCAAGGTACTAAGAATTGGAAGGCCGCTACCTCAAATGGTATTGAAGAAGGAAGATTTTGTTGGCTTGCTCGACAAGAGAGATTCTTCGGACGAGCGTGCAAATTCGTCACAAATTCAGACATAAATCAGACTTTGAAATGATAAAATAGAATCCGTAATTTAAGTTTGCCTCTTGTATAGCCGATAAATCCTGGTCGAATGAATGTAAGTCCATGATGTGCGGTAAATTGGTGAGAAAAATCCACGAAAAGGAAAGAGGGTCGATTCAGAGTGCCGGTACGCTTATGCATCGCGGATGACTGCTCGTTAGAAAGTCGGGGCATACTGAATCTCTAGGGCGCTGGCTGTTTCTTCAGCGCTCTGTTTTACGGACTGCCTTGTTATTTGGGGGATGTCATACTAAACTATACGAATACTGTCTAGGTGACAGTTTAGTAGCGTTTTGTTTCTGGCAAATTCACAAGCCAGGTATTCTTGATAAAGCAATTTTCCCCACGAAAAGCAACTTACAAGGGTACCGCTGTGTCACATCTTCGCTAAAGGTTTCGGGGCCAAGGCGGACTGTAAGCATGCCAAGCTGCAATCCCTAGTGACATGCCTTTACGAGTGTTACTTCTACTGAACGACGCTGTTTCGGTGAAAAGAAAACACCTACTTTCTGTAGGACATATAATCAGGTTACTGAAACATCTAACAAACTGAATCCAAGTGCTGTCGAGGGAGCTGCTTTTCGAGAATTTCCAAGCGATTACAGCAACGAAATCTGTCAGGACGCAGCCGCTTGTGACCATACGCGTTGCCTCAGTGTGTGTGAAGAACATACATGGAATGACAGCCAGATGATTCAAACAATACGGCCTTACAGTGGCTAATCTGCCGACTGAAAATACAAGGAAGAATGAGTCAAAATCCAAAACGCACGAACAATGGGAATTTGTGTAAAGGACACAATTCAGGATTGCGACGAAACAATGTGTAACTACCTGTAAGAGTACTGTCAACATGAATAGCGGAGCACCAAATGTCCTTTAAAAAATTACCTCCAGTATTTTGCTTCGGTTCACATGGACGAAAAGAAGGATAGCTTTGATGGGAATAAACTAGAAATCCTAAAATAGACGATAAGTTAAAAAGGGAGTGCACTGAATTATGGTACACAACGAAAAATGCAGTTAATATGGTTGTTTTTATTAATGTCATGTATGATGCGGTCTGACAGAAAGAAATCAACGATTGTAAACTCGTTACTTAGGGACAAACAAACTAACGCTTAGAGTGAACTCAACCCACAGATCATGAGGTCATTGCAGTCAAAGGATTGCTACTAATTATTCCACGTCACAGCAATATTTCCACGACCAATCTCAACTGCTCAAGTCCATTGAAAATCGTATGAACAACCAGTCCTTATAGTTTGTGACTGCCAACAACCAAATTGTTCTCAATGACCCATATTCATGGAGAGCACAAACTTTCGTTAAGCACTGCTGATGTAAACTCATCTGGTGCTGAAATGTTTGCGACGTAATTTCCAAGCTTGTGGGGAACATGAACGCCTGGGTGCTTATGACATAACGGACCAGTGACTTTTTCCCTTATTTATGTTACAACCTATCACGCCTAATTCGTCCAAATATTTTGTCTGAAGATCCCAATAAAGCAATATAATTTTGTTGACATCCAAACGGTTATAGCTTAAGGAAAACTGATTAGGAGTGCACTTACAACACACGTTTAAAAGTACTTTGGTTGTTCCAAATCTATAATAATCAAACGGCGTAAATATAGAGACAGAGCACATAGACTAAAAGATTTCAGCATAATGTATATATATGAAGCTCTGTTAAGTGAACTTAATCTTTAGAATATGACAATAGGGATCACGAGATGACTAGTGATAAAATATACAGTAACAAGGCAGCAGGATGGACAAAAGCAATGGTGTGGCTTCATTATATTGCAGGCAACAAGTCTGAGACACCACTTGTCATCGGTTCCCATAAGAAGATACAACAGGTTCAGGATGAGAGGAAATCGTGTTCCGTCTTCTCGTTTGTCTGAAATACTGTTCAGCTCCTGGTTTGGGGTTTAACGATGGTTGATTTTAACAAATGTTATAAACGATTAAACATTTTCAGTCTTATTTTATGTAAACACATACCATTTTGAAACACATATGACAAAATTTAGGAAAAGATTGTTACCCAAGGCAACTGACAATTATTCCCTACAGAAAATGGGTAAAACCTAAATCTCTGTACTGGTTTGAGTATCAACATATAGAGAACTTACATAAGAGACGATCACAGTCGGTAAAGCTTGTTGCTTGATGCACGTGTAAGTAAAGTGCCTGTCAGCTTTCCTGCTGTAAAATGTGAGCATCCTTGGAGTTTGTCTTATTTCGATACCAGTGAAGCTGTATTTCACCGTACTTTATTTATCCACAGGATTAAACCATCTAAACATTTTATTTTCTCCCTAGGTACGGGAGAATCGGGAAAATCCACAGTACTGAAACAGATGAAGATAATTCACATCAATGGATACACAGTTCGGTGGGTAATTTTGGTTTGCTTATAATTTATGCTCAGTAACAGTCCTCCGCAGACAACCATCTGATCAGTTGAAGCATATCTATTATATGGAAGCCACTAGGAAATTATTCAGTGGTTATAGTTTTTCTTTTGTCACATCTTGGAACTCGTTAGCCGCTTTTGAGTAGACGGAGATGAGACCATGTCAAGCGGCGGTCGTATTCTAAGTAATTTCCGTGGCTTGATACTGCATCCTCGGCACACCAATAAAAGTGCTTAAAAGAGCCTACTAGTCGGCTGCTTTGCTTTATATGTCTCCGATATTGTTAGTGCCGAAGGGAAATAAGAGCCGAACGAAACAGGGTAAGAAATATTTCAGTCACCTGTGAAGAGAAAGTGGTCACGTACTGCGGTTTGCAGATTTCATTCACCCTGCGCACCTGTTTATAACGCCTCTGATTGTCAGGAATTTGAGCATTAAATTTACACAAAACATTTCGTTAAACCAAATGCGCTTCGGTTTTGATTGGTTTATATAAAGATGGATAAGTTAACACATATGCGGAAAGGTTATGTTCAATGAGTTAAAACCTACGATACCAGAGTGATTCATCCATTTCGCCTAGCTTTGGATGTGCCTTAACTTTACCATTATCGGCCATTATAAGGCGGGACCTTTGATGTTAATGCTCTTGGGAAATGCCTTTAATCCCTATCGGAGGCATATTGACATCAGTAGCAGCGGGAAACACAAGCACGCGAGTGCAACCACAACCTACACAGTGCTCTAGTGCCAGACTAAGAAAATGTGCATACGCCTCTAGCGTCTCAAACAGGATGACGTATTCTTGCTCTTCCACTCAAACGTTAATGTGAACAGTTCCGTTTTCTGTAGTCAAGCAAGTCAAGATAAGGACGCAAAAGCTCTCTATCTCTATCATTAGCTGATCATGTTTAACAATCCTTGTGTGTTAAACAAAAGCGCTATTTGTACTCCTTTTGAAGTAATATTAGCTGTCTCCCATTCACTTTTATTCTAACGGTAACCTATAACTATCATACTGGATGAGGCAGCCTATAGCGAACCGCACATCGTGACCATTTCAGTTCGGTGATTACGTACACGGATGATGTGCGCAACTGCCGCTGGTTGCTCTCAGCAACGGAACTTCGTCAACCAGACTGCTTTTGATATGTAAGATTAACCCAGGGAATTTTACTAACTCCATCTGGTTTCTACCAAACATACTAATCAAATTGCTCAACTTCGGGACACATGGTGTGCAAACTAAGTTCAAACAAGTGTTCTGATGCAGTGCCTTTGGATATAGTTCCACATATATCAGAATGAATCCTACCTGAGCGGCCGCTGCTAGGTACAGCTCTCACAAATAGACGGTACCCAACTTCCGATTGCTATTATCCCTTAATTCTAATAATATTATGGCTGGTAGATACTTTTATAAACAGTCGAAGCTTTTGCAGTCGTTGTAGTACGTTTTCAGTCTCCTTGTATATGATAAAGTTGGATTTCTCTATGCAATGTCACTCTTATTTCTTAACACATTAAAACTAACATTAAGGCTCTTGTTAGGAGTAATTGAGTGGGCCGTCTTAAGTTCAGCAAGGCATGGAATATTTTTCAGCTACAGCAGGCAATAGCAAAGCGCTTTACATGTCTTAGCCTTCCATCTGCCTTGAAAGAACTACAACGCGTCTGCTATCAATACATTAAGGAAAACCAACCTTTTCGCAATCAAGGAAAATATATTAACTGAGTGCTATGAAATGAAAACAGCACTTGCACCTATCCCTAGCTTCACTGTCAAACCTTCCGATGACACTCTACTACTGCAACCTGTGGTTTAGTGGCAAAAATTCAAATGGGCTGGACCGTTAACCTTGGCACAACAATTATTAATTTTATGGAGCAGCATCGGCGCTCCTTGATGAAAAAGTGCGCTGAATCCTTCTCAATCATAACCTAACTACAACAGTTACGTGCGTAAATTTATGCCTAATTGTACTTTATCGCTTGTTTCTACGAACGTATTTGTTTATCAATCTCGAGTTGCCGATAAACAAAACTTGCAACACGATTTTCCTGATGCTGTTCGCAACTTACAGCTCAAAGAAGTGCATGGGTCGCATAATTGGACATGTTGTCCTTTTTGATTTACTTTTTCATTCCAGAAGTGCTATGTGCAGTGGGGGAATATTTGCGTCTGTTTATCCAAAGCACTGCTGTTATAGTTTGAAGAAAAACTAATAAATTAACTTAAGAAACGTGGTATCTCCAGAACAAGAATTATTGCTCACGTGGCCGTTAGTTTGTAAGATGGGCTCCAATTCTCAAAACTGTGTTACCGATCTTTTAAATATAAGAAACTAAGTCCATCTAAAAGGCTCAATGTGTTATTTAGATGCCGAAAGTTGTTACAGGATGGGGACAGTCTGCAATTTATGAAACGAGAAACCATTTTAGTTACCCTCTGAAAATGTGAAAGAGTTATTTTTGCGATCTCTTCGTTCTGTCCTTAAATGGTTGTGGCAGGTTATGTCTGATACGACATGTGGAGTGTTAACGAGTAGTTGGGGTTCCGGTGTTCTTGAGAAATTCCTCCTCAGTAGGAGCAATTCAGATAGCCATCATACATTTGTCTTACTTTCGCAAACCTAATAGCGCCAAGAATCATTCACACTAAGTTTGCTCTTACAGAGCAGCAGGCATTGGAACTTTGTCTTCTTGTATACGTAAATGTCAATTTTGTGTGCCACCTAGAATGGGGCAGGTTTTGAGACTGATACAAAATTGCAAAAGAGAAGCGCAACATCTGTTTTTATAACCGAATTAATCATACCAGCGTGATTTTCCCATTCACACCAAAGTACTATGCAGCTGGAGCGCATTATCTTTTATGCAACTCGCAGGCATCAGCTGGCGTACTCCAACAGCAGGGAGGTTATTCATTTCAGCCTGTTTTGCAATGGAGCAGCTTGTAATAGACGGGACAATTTCAAATGGTTGTTTTGAAGAGCACCGGCTTGTCATTTTCAATTAAAACAACGTATACTTAACGATTGATTTCGTTCAGGAAAAGATCCGTTTTCTTCTGTATGTGATTTAAAACGATTTCTTGAAAACATACTATTTCTTCGAGGAGGTTTTACGTGCAGCTTCTCCGACATCAATTCGCGGTGCACGTAGTGGTTCAGGAAGCGCAATCACTTCATCTACTTTAGACTAAATTTCAAGCCATGACTCGAACTAGGTAAATCATGTACGTTTGGAAACTTCACCTTACCCTTGAAAAGATAAAGGAGGATATCTGTGCGTTTAAAAGTATTGTTTCCAACAATATATTTTGCTATAAATGATAGATGATCTCTTACCGTACAAAGGCACTATAACTGAACTACATCCAACTATCTACTAGGTTTAAGTTAGCCAAGTTTTTTCTGCGCAAGCATTCAAGGTTAGCACAGATGTGAACAATAATTCGTCCATGTCACATTGTTACGGATGAATGATGCGCTACTTTCTGCGAGACACAACGCATCGTTGTATCAGAATAACTGTGCTCAAGTAGATCAAAACACAGTCACTTTCTCATCTTGCATACGTTAGTGTCTATGCCAATTGTCCAGTTGGAGAGCCGGTAATTATTAAAGGCTCATTGATATGTTGACTTTAATACCAAACCTTACATCTGTACTATACAAAAAGTCAAACGCAGCTTATCTAGCCTTTGTTGCATTATGTAAAATAGCAACTTATAAAAACTGACCTATTTACCTAGAATTACTTCAAAAATAACTGAAGCGTCACTTGTTATTCTGCGTAAGTCTCACCTTTACATAACCTTTATTTGTGTCTAATAATCAACTGAGTAGAGGCCGCCTTAATCGAATAGTATTGAAGTCAAAGATAAGGTTTTAGACTTTTATTTAGCCCCATTAGTAAACAGATCACACATTTCACCCACAGGGAAAAACTGGAATTTGTCCTTCCCGTTCACAAGAACATACATGATGCGATGCTGGTAAGCGAAAGTTTTATCAGCATGACTTGGTTACTTTGTTGACACCACTGCTAAGTCTTAGAATATTAGACATTGCTCACTTCCTGACAATACCATGGTATCAACTCAAGTCCAATAAGTAAATGCGCCAAACTGGAAAGCCAACTGATTACGGATTCCTATCTATGTTGAGATCTAATTGATGTGTAAGCCGGTGTAGCCCGAATGCGTTGAAGTCCCCTGATGTGTACATATTGCTACAGTGAAACGCAAGAGGATTAAAGGACTAACGGCTTATTGGCACTGCTCTCAGTATGTGTACAAATGTGCATAATGACAAGCAGATTTGTTATTAAGCATCTTGCAACATCACCGTACAGTGTTAGACTCAAGCCTTTCAGACGTGTGTACACATATCTGTTGAATGTGTAAGGCCACATTCCTAGCTGATACAGTTAATATAAGTTCACCTGAGACTGGATGACAACGTAATGTTAGTGTGTATCGCTATAGACAGACAGCTTATTAAGAATATCCAAGATATGTGATACTTTGATTTCAAGCTTGGACACTAAAAGTTAGCTAGCAGTGACGTAAGCGGGAATGGTAGTGCATCTGAGAAGCTATTTTTGGAGTAGCGTCAGTTAGTAGATTATAGTAGCGTTTCCAATACTCGAAGATGAACACATTCCAGGGCAATTGCAGTTCAAGGTTTTCGCTCCTTGGGTTGCGTGGATAAGACCCAAGCTCGACTGACGGTTGTGATACTTCCCTTCTTTAAAAGACTGGGTGTAAGTGAACGCCAGCTTTCTGCGATGAAAAATCCCTTATGTCTCTGGTATCCGGAAAAATTTTATTTCCAGAAGTGTCATTCGGTATCCTAGAACGAGCTACTGGTCATAGCATGACATCATATACGGTAGGTCTAATTGTGTATCATAAGTTCACGCTACCCAACTCATCCAGAAGAGAATTGCGACTTGCGACTCTTTATGGGAAACAAATAATACGCAGACAAAGCTTTACTGCATGTTAAGTTTGCTATAATTTTTCTAGATTCCTGCATGTTTTATCGAATGGGACCGAGCTAAGAAACACAATTCCTTTTGCCACCTTATATCACACTGGCATTGGTAACAATCATTATCATCGCACTTGAGGCAAGGAGGTTCATGTTACACACTACATTAGAACTGTGCGCCATAGTCAATTTACAACCCTTGAACCAATCAAGTAGCTTTACCCTAGTTGTGTTTACAGCTGTTACCAGACAACTGGAAATGCTCCGTCGTAAAGCCTATACGGAAAGGTGGTAACCCAAGTAAAGTGGATAACTACCGGCCGATCTGCCTGACTGCTGTTTTGGCAAAGACGCTCGAGAAAATCGTGAAGAAGAACCTTCTGCATCTTCTCGAGTCGAAAAACCTGTTGACCTCCGCACAGCATGGTTTCATGAAAGGTCGCTCGTGCATCACCAACCTACTGTTGACGAGGCACGAGTGGTTACAAGCGATGAACCAAGGCCATTCAGTCGATGTCATTTACATTGACTTCAGTGAGGCTTTTGACAAGGTTAACCATGCAGTGCTCCTTGACAGGCTGAGGATGTGCGGTGTTGGTGGTTCGCTACACAAATGGATCAGAAATTTCCTTGTGGATCGGAAGTGGAGAGTCCAGGTGGACAACCATCTAACGGACTGGTATCAATCGAGCAGCGGCGTTCCCCAAGGCACTGTACTGGAGCCAATATTGTTTCTGATCCATGTAAACGATGTGCCTAAGCTACTCCAATCACCATGTACGTTGTTCGCAGATGACTTAAAGGTGTGGAGAGTAATCCGCACACTCAATGATTGTGATTTACTTCAGCAGGATCTCGACAGCCTCTCAACATGGTCTGCAGAGGTTAACCTTCCGATCAACCCTGCTAAGTCGCAATTCATGTGGTTGGGTAAATGCGAGCACAGCCGAACGTACACAGTGGCTGGTCAACCGCTGCATCCCGCGTCTTTCGTGCGCGACCTCGGTGTGCTCTCACGCTGCGACCTAAAGTCCATTGACAACACGAATAGGCTGTACCAAAACAGCCTTCGGATGCTTTGGGCGCTCAGGCGCAGCTTCAGCACTTGGTCCGAAGAGATTGCCACTCGCCTCTTCGTCTCGATAATACGACCAATGCTAGAGTACGGCACTCCCGCATATTGTCCCATCACGCTGGGCGAGGTAGAGAAGCTTGAGCGGGTGCAGCACGTAGCTACTAGGCTGATTCCCAACTTACGAGGTATGCCATATGAAGACCGATGTAAGAAACTAGGGCTGTACACCTTAGCATATCGTCGGAAGAGGGTTGACCTAATCATGACGCACCCGATATTACATCTGAGTGATTACCCCATGTTGAGACAACTGCTTCATCTGCGCACTCCAAGCAGCACGCGAGGACACCGGTACAAACTTATCGTACCGAGGTAGAAGCGGGTAGCTCACCAACTCTGTTTCAAACGTAGAGTGGTGAATACCTGGAACAAACTGCCGCAGCCGGTAATAGAGGCCAATTCAGTAGCCGAATTTAAGAAGCTTCTAGACAAACACTTCGCAGAGGCAAAATATAAAGAGCGGAACGATAATTAATACGTTGATGACAAGAGCGACAATTGATGCAGCTACGCAGAGTATGCTCTACTCGCTGCTTCTAATCAGTATCAGTATCAGTATCAGGATTCCTAATTAAACACCGGGGCCACTAGGCAGAGATGGCTGGGGAAGCCACCTATATAACAAAGCGTCCGTGTTTGGAAATGTGGAATACTTTTATTAGAGATTAGATCATTAGAAACATTCCCTCTTCTTAAGCAGAGCAAGTTATTTGTAACCATTGTAAAGGATCATTTCTGGAAGCTTTTTAAAGATGGCTGTTGTTTTATGCTCTGTTTATTCAACTTTATCCAGTCCCTCTTGGGGGGAATGCGCTTACTTGGAGAAGAGTTTCAGAATCCCGAAAACGCAGTACTTGCTCAGCAGTTGTTAGATGGCTCCATTGCGGAACCTCATGGATACTCACAAGTAAGCAATAGTGTATTAAATGTTTGTTGAATGCGGCGAAATTATGTAAATTTCGGTGTCATGTCGTGTTTAGAATGACGTTGCCAACTAGTTTGGTGTTTAGAGTACAGTGACCCAACAATGTGTGCTTTTCTTCAAAGTTGAACTCAGCGATTATGAGATTTTCGTAGCTTGTCAAATTACTTTGGTATTCCACTGGTCCGTTTTCCTCACCTTGTGTTATCGACCTCAGCTGTGAAAGTATTTGATGGCCAATCTCACACGGGCTAGTAGTGCCAACATTTGCTGACTGACACAAACTAAATATCATTCAGTTTTCAGTTGTGTCACAAATTATGCGGCTTTGCTTGAAAAGCAACAACGAACCATGACCGAAAGCTGCTGCGCACCGTAACTGTGTTTCTTTGTAAGCAAAGCACCTCTCAGTGTATATGGTGAGAGATTAGCAAGCAAATGTCTTTTGAGATAACAGCAAATTTTATCATTCACAATTTGTTAATCAGACTACCACTTTAGGATAATATCTTGGCGATGTACAACATACTGTGCACATCTCCGTCTATTTTTCTGAGTGCGCTCAGGATTTACGGGAGGCATTTAAATTGGACGACATTTACTTAAGCGAATTGACCCTTGCAGTTCCAGAGAAATTCAAAGCGTACCACATAGCAAAAGGAAATACTGAGTTGTGTTTTTATTAACATTAATAATGCGCATAAAAACTAAATCAGCTGTACAAAATACTATTTTAATTAAGTGAAAGCACATCACAGGTAACTTTACTTTTGACTAGGCTGTATTTTTGCAAAAGTAAAAAGTAACTGATATTTGTGAAAGCAATGTTCTTGGGCCATCTCTTTTTCTTAGACTATTAGGCTAGATAACCTAAACTAAATTTAAGGAATATTTTAGAGGATAAACTAGCCCTTTCTTCTCATACTGTAGATTAGTGGGGTTGAGGTTTTTGATGTCATTAGACACAGACTAGATGGACCAATTTTGAGGCGATATTTTACCTAGTTTTCATCCATTAACAGATATAGATCCTAAATATATTTAAAGTGAAGGCTGTGTTGCTTACGTCCACTGTTACATTCCTTTATAATTCCTGTTTAGCTTGTTAACTGTAAGTAATGTACCTTCAAAAGTTGAGCAGCACTTTGAATAGCATTCCAAAATTAAATTATTAAATGTAGCCAAGTTACTGACAGAATTAGGTGCCTAACTACTGTTTGATCTAGGATAGTACCATGTTCCATTGGCAATTTGTCGCAATAAGGCCGTTAAATTATTACCTTTATCATATAAAGAACGTAGCTAGTGAACGTCAATGTGGTCAATTTATATGGCGAGATAGGACAAGTTGCCCACCTTAAAACTGGTATATTTCATAGCATAATACACAGCATACGTCAAACTTATCCTCGTAATTCATTCGGAGCCAGTAAACATAGATGCGAACTTCACAAGGATTCAGTCTATTTTGAACAAAGTCAATGCACCAACAACATGTCAACAATCCTCTGTGGGTATTTCAGATACCAAGCAGGATATTTACAAGTTATATAGGGTCAGCAGGCCACGGAACGCGGATGTCAATCACTATAATGTGCTGAGCGTAGTTGAATTTGTGTTGTAAATTTTACCTCAAAATTATCTTAAACAACGTGTTTAACGGATGCCAATCATTGTAGCTGAGATGTTCACTAAAACAGTTTTTCACTGCGTAAAGCATAAGGCAGTTAAGAAAAACAAAGTTTTTAAATCAATGTGCTTATCTCAACTACAGGCTTTTTTTGATACAGTCGAGCAACTTTGGAAGGATCAAAATATTCAGAAGGTATTTGCCAAAGCCAACGAATACCAACTACTGGATTCTGCGAAGTAGTGAGTTAAATCGTCCAGTATCAATAATGCTGACCGTATACACTAATGGCAGCTTTTAAAAACTGTAAATGCCATATGCACTTTTTAGTTAGAGCACATAAAATACGATCTTTACTGGTCACTTGCAGATCAAAATAATGCGTGAATGTGTAATCCCAAACATGTGCATCGACCCTCAGATAACGAAAGATTTGTTTCCGCTTTTATTTTAGCTTCCTGGATCGCATTCCTTTTATTCGTGCAAAAGACTACATACCTTCGGATCAGGTACTACAAAGTACTTTATTTACCACTGTGCTCTATTTTCAGTTTTTTAGATATTAGCCTAAGAAACCGAAGAACCGACTTAGACATTGCGACCTCTAAATCAAACCAACTTTTGGCTGCTGCCTAATGAGATGCATCTAATAGGTACTTTTCCAACTCGTTAGTATCCTTATTTCAGGCCACAAGCCGCTACACGACTCAGTTTAGTAGAATTGTGCAGACTTTTGGGGCTCGTAATTCTTCGCATGATTCTCTGCCTATAATGGCGGAGGATAACTGGAAACCGGTTCGAGTTCATGTCAGTTGCCTGTCGCGAGTTAAAATAACGTCATGGCTTAGCTTGTAGTCGTCATACGGAGCGCACAAAACAAACTGACCCTCACATGCGGTAGATATCGAAATCACTATACGGAAATGCACCAGACGCTCCTTGTACCCTACTGAGGCTGTACATTGGCGTGCGTCCTCCAACTCCCTTAGGAACGGAACCCATAAACAATAATGCTTGGTAGTCAACGGTTTATACCAATAAAATATGGGGTGGGGGCGACCCCCGTGACTTGCTTGCTCAGGGCAACTGACGGCGAACCAAAATAGTTCATTCACTTTCATACCAATGAGCTTTGGCAGCATCCAAACGGTCAGCTGAAACCGTGTGGTTTCGCCACTAGCATTGAGTAGCACGGCAATTTCGTTGTCTAATGCGCAAGTAACTGACTAACTAGGAATAGTGTCTTGGCTATCCTTAACATGGGTGTAAAAGCAACTTAATTGCTTTGTGAATCAATAGCTTTTATGACATAGCCTTCCTGACTTCAATAAATGGAAGCTCTTTGCAAATCATAGAAATGCGAAACTACTAATGAATTTAACTTATTGGTTTTTTAATACCTGCCTAATTACTGGACTATAATACGCAAATTTAGTTGGGACCACGGCTTAGTTCAAGGAAAACATCTACTGTTTAGATTTTCGGGAGGGAGCCAAAATTGAAGCATTTCGGAGCTGACCACTCCCGATCCTGCAAAGCGTGGCTGGTTTCGTTCTAGTTTGACCCATCAGTTAGAGAGAGCTTGAAAGGGAGACGAGAACCCGACTGATAGTAGTGGACGGTTCACACTAGGCCGTTTAGCTATTGACCACTTTATACAAATTTACAGTACCAAAAGATTGTTAATGTCATTTGTGAGAACGCTCGAGTCAACAATAAATTGAAACAATACAACCTCCTACTGTTTGCATTCTAAAAATGGAGTACGGTCCGTTATAAGCAACTTGTAATGCCAAGATATAGTTAACTTAAATCCAAGCAAGTGTGGTAGCTCCGGTCAGAAGTGAATCCGATTTATTTCAATGATAGTTTCGTCGAATTATTTTATGCATTACTAAAAGGAAAACCAAGAATATTACTAAATAATCTAAGCGCCTTGTTCGCAAAATCAATAAGAGCTGATTTTGAGAAGCCGCCCTGGGGTTTACAAACACGTTTCTAGTAGTCGAAACATCAAAAGAATATAGATGAAAATACGAAAGATACTACCAAGTATTTACAGTTCGACCTAAGAAAATTAAGTTTCATCTGTTGCAACCTGCTCCGAGGGGATCAGAGAAATAAGGAACGCCAGGATTCACGAGTGGACCATGCAAACTTGATTTACGTAGTTAAACAGTGGTGTCGTATTTTCAATGTATCCACAAAGTCATGCATACACGAGTGTTAGCAGTGTGCAAAATCATCACCGAATATATGTTTTACAGACATGTTTCTAATTTATTATTTTTAGGATCCTGTGACCATCTGCAGTCTCTTCTTTTACTGCCGTTGGATATGATCGTGTAAATACAGTTGCGACAAATTACGACAAGGCACATTAGATACGAAGAGTTGTTAAATCACTACAAGTAGAAGCCATTAGTTTCACTATGAAGCCAATCAGCTCGATGAACCCCAAACGTTTACTTTCTATCACAAGTTTCGCTCCAATATGAAAATGCCATTGAACAAGATGCTATATCTGCTCTATACTAAATTACATCTAAAGCGTGAATTCCTTCTTGTCGACAATTTAACCAGATGCTATAAAGACGCCTGATCAGAGCAGCGGGAGCAATCAGCAGTGAATATGCATTCCCTTGAGCACTGAACAAAGATGGGATGGTGTTATTTGCAAACGTTCTCATTTTCAACATGTTATGAATGTCGTATAGACAGCTAATAGTTATCAAAATACACTACCTAACTACTAACTACTGGGTAGTTAGTAAATTGTCATTCTCAATCGGTGGCAATCTGACGACTCATTCGCAAATAAAGGGGCGTGGTACTTAGATATATGATCAGGCATTTAGGTAAGAGAAGCAGGGAACACCTACCAAATAGGCTCCTCCAGCAAAAAATAGAATAGGCTGCAGGATTATTGCGAACCATTTAATCAACTCAAAGCATCAGATAAACATTGTGACTTACAGATTATATACTGAATACCGTCTAAGCATAGCTATCGTGTGGCAGCATACCTTGTTACCACCGCGGAAGCCGTATGCATAAGGCTAACGAACCCCTGTCTGTGTATTCAGAAAATATGGCACTGTCATTGCAACCGCCGTGACTGAACATCAGACTGGAAGGAAGTGACTGCGTTCAAGAGGCCCACCGGATTTTAATTATATAATCAATTGATTGACATTGATATATTAATGCTTATGTCTGCGGATTAGTTATTTGAAAACTTTAGTTAACTTAAAGCTTAATGTCTTTTCTCCTTTCTTAGCTTCTTAAATACATTAGCTTAACCAACCTTAGTTGCAATCAGACCGGTGATACTGTCGCGTCAAAAGGGCAGCGAACCATTGTGACCACTCAAATTACATTTGTGATCTCATCGATATTATGGCAGACACATGTATGATATCGAGGGATTTTTAAACCCGCATCTCATTCGGAGATATAGTTCTAAGAGTGACATTAAAAGTACTTATTCGCGACCCAGTGACAACACTTGCACGCGACCGTAGGAGATAATCATTTTTATCAGCTTTAGTTAGGCACCATATGAATGGACACTTTCGTGATATGTAACTGAAACAAGCACTGTGTTTGGTTTTACTTGGAAAACTGGTACCTCAGTAGACTTGTTCAGTTGCTGTGGTGTTCAGAAGAGATGAGAAACTTGATTTCAAACTCTTCACCACCATTGGAGTGGGCATCTTCAGTGCAGGATTGATAGCAATCCGGTAGCGGAAGCTTGCAGAAGTCAAATCCAATGACGGACACTTTCAGTCTCAACTACGCTTCTTATAAAAGTGCCAACGGCTGGCCACGTTTGGATTGGTAATTCATTGTGTGAGGTGGTGTTGCTAAACTCTTAACCTTTGGCTGCAAAACGGTTATTGTGGCGTGGTTGGGAGTGTAACACTCGGATTAGTGTAATGGCCGTCGGTGAGCAGTCTGGGCTCACAGCGACCGTTCTGTTCATTGTCTAGGTGTTGAATTGGGTTCTTTCGAACATCGGTTGCTAAACTTCCGGATTTAGCTCTGTCTCAGTACTTACCATATTAAATCGATTTCGATATGTAGGTTGATGAAGCTTGGGGTTAAGAAACAGGCTTCGAGAATCCCCCTCTATTTTGTTTTTCCCATGGGCAGAACATATCTGAAACGACTGTCAGATTATTCACTTAACGTCATATCATTGTATCCCATAAGTCCACTGAAACCCTGGGAAAAATTAAGTCAAGATGAAAAGGAAGACGATGAACGCGAGTACGACAGAATGTGGTATAGAGAATAAAGTGCAGAAAGCGTGCAAAACATGGAGACAAACAGGAAGGAAGCTGTCAACATTAATACAGGAATATAAAGGGCGCGCACGAAACATAATACAACCTCAATGGTTTCAGCATAGGTGGATGAAAGAGGACATAGCTGCGACTGACACATGGTTGAGATCCTGACGCATAGCGAAACACATAATGGGGAATTTTTCTCGAAGCTTGGTTTGCAACAACGTATTCAATCAACACACATCTCGACATCGATCCAATATATCAACAGTCAAAACAGAAGGAGGTCAAGAAAATTAGTAACCTTATTTCGAAGGACCTAATCCAACGCCCGGCAATGAACAGAGCGGACAGTGTGAACCCAGACTGCTCACATACGTCAATCACACAAATCCGTGCGCTGTATTCCCAACCACGCAGCATCTACATTAGTGCAGTCAATGACAATGGCTCGGGCCCCACCGAGTACACAATGAGTCTTTAATCCGAGACGAGCTTAATAGCCTTGTACGCCCATGTAAAGTCGGTAGTAGCAGCTGACGGTGTCCATCATTGGTTTTGCCTTCTGCCAGCTTCCACTACTTGACTGCCATGGATCCTGCACTGACGATGCCACCTCTAATGGTGGTGAAACGTTTGCAATCCAGTTTCACAGCTCGATGAAAAACTGAATTGAGCAACTGAACCATAAATTTGCTAACATGAGCGATCTCTTCGGAATCAGAAAACTACACATCAGTTAGTGGCTCGAAAAACCTTTGCGCTGACTTCGCATATTTCTTGAGGCATACATAATAACACAGGCACAAGAAAGACTGTGATTGATGAGGTGAACAAAACTCTAAAGTGCTCAATGCTGAAAACATATAACGTAATGGGTTGTGCTGGATAGTTGTACTGGCTTTCGACGAGCACCGAATCCACCTGGTACTAGTACGGCCGCGCAGACTAAAACACAGATATTTATCTTTGATATTTTTGGCACAAACGGTCGGTAAGATAAATTGAACCAAAACCGAGATTTTTGGGTCCAATCCAAGTAAAAATTAGTATTTTCCACATAGATTCTATATAGCTTGCGTTATTACATTAGCTGACTGAAGACCGGTGTGGGGCGAATTGCAACTGGCCCTAATATGTGGTTCATAGGTTTTATTTTAAGTAAGATTCTTTGTACTGATATTATATGTTGGACAATAATGTCAGCTTAAATTTGATATCCTGCGGAACCTTATAAACTGTAATATGAATACCACGGCACTCATTGCATTCAAAATCATTACTCACCCAGTGTTTTTTAAATAGAGGAAACTCGGCAAGCTATATGATAAGGCAAGAAGCAACGTTTTTTATTTCTCTGCCTTGTCCGGTACTGGTTACTTTCTTTCCCGAAATTACTCCTGCGCCGAATTGTATTGCTTACTTTACTTTTATGTATTCCACATTAAAAGGACATACTCCGGTGTCGTACAATGACTGACGGCGTCAATGAAGTTTGCTTCAGTATCAACACCGGCCAAAAGAACGCTGTGACATTCCGGTAAGTCACGTTAACCAAGGTAAAATTAATGAATTGGGTGAACCACGTCTAACCCTGTCATTAAGGTGACCTGGTTTTTAAAATCAAGCAAGTGACGGTCACATGAATGAGCTCAAATGACGAGTTTAAGAAAGACAGCAAGTGGCCGCCTCCTACCTTTGTCCTACATAATCGGATATAACTCAAAAATACTTGGCATCCGTCGGTAATTCTGAAATTAGTTACTGGAAGTGTGAATAGCAATGGCGTGATGATTTTGAACAATAAACGATGAATCTCTACGGGCCAAGAAGCACTGTTTTAAAGGTCCCGTTGGGTATATTGGTGGGATTATCAAAAAAATAATAATAAAACAGTTAGTAATTTAGGTATGAAAAGAGGGAATTATCGTTTGCACCGCCGCAGTTCAGTCACTATCATCATTATGCACATCAGGTAGAGGTGGAAAAACACCTCCGCTATTGTGCCGCAATACATGAAGGAAATACATACATACATATAATACAATACACAAAGGAAAAAAGAGATACAACAGTTGCATGCCAGCTGAGCTACCAGCAGCGGATAGGCATCGTTCCGGTAAGCTACCAGCCGGCTACTAGGCTAAAAGAAAAACTATTATATTTTAAGCTAAGAAATGAGATCGTAGATGGAGGGGAGACTAAAAGGGATGAGGACGGACAAAGAAACTCACAGCAGGAACGCCACTGAAGTCGGCTCCTTGCCATGTCAGCAACTGTTTCCAGCCAAACGTGTTCACCGTCTTTTGGACCCCAACCAGGGAGCCGTGACGCTCCAACCGAGTCCAGCACAGAAATGAGGGCCTTCATTTCTTTTGACTAAGTTATCTTTTGGCCACCCATCCTCTTCTTCCATTCACATCCCTGGTGAGCAAACAACGCACGTCGTGGAAGTCGATGGATTGGCATGCGCAACATGTGGCAGAGCCATCGGAGCCTGGAGCGTGAAATAACGGTGCTGAGCGGTTCATTTCCTTTTCTGTGCTATAAACAAGGCGTCGAACACGCTCGTTACTCACGCGGTGTTCCCACCAGATGTGAGCCAAACTGCGAAGGCACCGATGGTCGAACGTAACTAGCCTCTTCATGTCCGCCGATCTTAGGGGCCAGGTTTCACAACCGTACAGTAGGGTCGAACGTACCGCTGCATTGTACACTCTACCCTTCAGGGCGAGAGTGATGTCGCGCCGCCATAGGTGGCGAAGGTTAGCAATAGCATTCCGAGCTTTCGCTATACGGTTCGTGATCTCGTCTTCGATCCCAAGAGCGCTGATACAACTTCCCAGGTAATTGAATTTCTGAACGACATCTAGCTGATCCCCACCATGGGTCAGCGCAGGAGGCGATCCCTGCCAATCATGGAGGAATGTTTTGCACTTCGATGGTGCAAAGCAAAGCCCGAAGCGGCTGACAGCCACCGTAGTCCAGTAATCCGCGTTTTATCACAGCACACTTATATAAAAGCAAATAAAACCACGGTATATTCCAGGTGTAGGATGTAGTCATGGTTCTCATTAACAAGGTAAAATGAATGGGTATGTCATCCAAGCAACTTATAACTATTATTAATATCGGTGCAGAGAACACCGATTCAGGGAAAGTATTCCACGTGTGACATACACGAAGGGAAAAGAAATTCCTGCGGCATTCCAGACGTCTATACTGTTCTGCGAGTTTCAGTAAGTGACCTCTCTGATTTCCATTGCTGCAGAGTTGCAGTAAGAGGTGGCACAATTGATGTGATTTGTGAGGAATCAAGTAGGCCATTAGCAGATTGCCTCATAATCTGCGATATGGTCCGCTGAATACCCCTAGTCAATTTAGCCCCTGCCGGTACGGGAGATCGCACATTCTACTGACGTGCGTGAGCTACTACTTTAGTGACGAAGGAAGCACCAACAGCCATGCAGATAATTGCTAAGTGTCCGTTAGTCCACCATTCGTAATTTAGGATTTTATTTTATCACTGCAATGCAACGTCAGGTGTAACCACACCGCTTTAGCACATGAGGTGAGCTCTAACGAGGTCTTTCAGTAGAAATGCGTTCATTTGCACGTTTATTTTTATCCACAATGCTTTATATTTATGGGTTTAAACTTGCTTTTAATCATTCGTTTTGGTGATGCACTCCAGAAAGGTAGCAGCAGTGTTTTAGTTCAAAAAGAAGCACTCGGACCCGTTATCTTCATGAAATTGAATTGTCTATTTCATATTGCAAACTGCTAGCACTATTGCATCATCGTTTTGCTTAAAAGTATAATTGTAAAACGAAAAGTTAAGGAAAAATACCGGTGGATGTACAACACATGGGTTAGTTGTTCAAGCCTTCTGTGTTGTGCTCTTGCAAAGTTTCATATTGTGGGAGTGCCTTAGTTAAGCAAAGCTTTTGTTTCAATACGACCACTTATGAAAGAAGACCACTTTCTACTTATTTCCTAGTGTGTTTGACGTAAGCGGTCAGCGTGGAGCACGGAAGAAGTGGATTCAATTATTCGATAACGTCACCGCCATCTTGTTTTTGGTCGACACCAGTAGTTTTGACCAGATGTTGCGGGAAGACCATCAACAAAATCGTTTGGTTGACTCGTTGGAAGTTTTTGAACAGGCATGGAGTAACAAGTAAGCATATGCTGGACAGCTTTGTTACTTGTTCATTTCTATCTACTCAAACTCAGCAACTTGCATATCCCACAGTATGTCGAATGGACTTCTATCCTAGAACAGCAGTAATAATAATAATAACAACAACAACAGCACTCCGCAGAATAAAAAGCGAGAACATTTTACCTATGTCACACCTGTAGTTTCAGTCTATTTTTATTTCATCTATGCATGCCTGCAAATCCTGTTGCAGGATCCTATTCTTAAATGAATTGGGTAATAAAAAGTTGCATGTTTGTCAGTATTCAGAAGCTGTTGCCACTAAATCGAAAATAATCACAAGGTTATCGTTGGCTGTGGAAACTTCACTCAAGCGTTTGGTTATCCTTAGACCCAGTCGGGTAATTTGGCGCAAAGAGTATTTGACATAACAAAATTTCGGAAGGAGCATGGAAACTATAGAAAAGTTACTGCTGGTTCACTTTTAAGGCAGTCATTGTGCTTGCATTTGTAGTGGAGTATAAGGCGGCAGCTCCTTTCAAGGGAACATGGCAAACTGCCCGGTGGAAGTTGCTTAACCCAGTTTTCTCTTTAATCCTCTCTGCGATTATCAAATACATACGAATTTTCCACCTGAACGTGAAAGTACCGACATCTATCTGGTCACTATTTGTGGTAACCAACATTTTGCTTAAAAAAATACCGTTTCCCTGTGCTATGCTACTTGTCTATGGAACATATAGATTGGACGACAACAGAGCTAAGGATATATTTTCTGTGACCTATTTTCAACGTGTCATGTCCGTCAGAGAGGGATAAACGAAACGGATCGATCTGCTATTATATGTAAGAGGACTTTTCAGGATGTTGTCTACCGTAGGTAACAAGTAACGATCCAAATGGTCATGAGAAAATGATTTAGGCAATCAGCAATGTACGACAGAAAGTCAGCATAGGTGGTTCACAATCTTGATTTTTGAAAATGTTTCAGTACGCTTCGTAAGTTATTATTAGAAAGTAGATTAACGTTAGATGGAATACTAAACGGATACGTTAGACGCGCAGAAGCTATTGTTCTATCTTAACAATTTTAATGAAGTCAATTCATTCATTCAGGCACTGAAATATGCCGTGTTTTCCTAGCTGGTTAAGTTTCAATGGATGTAGTAAAGCCCAAGGGTTAGAATCAACTAAAACTTGCTCAGGTATTATCCATACATTCAGTGAAAGCTGTTTCTAAACTAAAACACAAAACCGCGCTACAGATTTGTATTACCGTGCAACAGTCGAACTTTTCATTTTGGTAGCCACCAAGATAGGTTTTCGTAATATTCAGCTGATAACAACGCTTAACAGTTTTAGTGTGGTTGCAGCAAACTTTAATAGCTTTAAATGAAACCAAAACTTTCAATAAAAGAAAGCAATCATTTGCTATGGAAGCCCAATGTTGGTCAGTCGAATTCAACGTCTCATTACAACTGCCTGAACCGGAAAAGATCGGTTATCAGCTTTTTGATTAATCATCGAAATTCCAATCGTTAGTCGAGTCCGTGAATACTGAATACTGAATATTGAAATAAGAGAGTGAGAAGATCTTGCTCCATCGTGGTTAGATGACACACACGCGCGGAATCACGTTGTTGATCCTGCGCGGTGGTAGCATATTGCAGCTGTACTACATATTATCTAGATGCGATACTCTCCATATACCGGTAATCCGCAAAGTGCATGTCAAGGAATTTCTTAAATTTCGACACCGATTTCACCTCGAATATTGTCTCCAGCGAATTGTTCCAATATTTCACCGCTCGATGCTCGAAGCATAGAGAGTCAGCGCTGCAAATCTAAACAGGTAGCACCAGTTTGTACCGGTGTCCACGTGTGCTGCTTGGTGCGCAAACGTGTAGCAGCGGCTTCAACATAGGGAAGTGGCTCAGGTGCAATATCCGGTATGTCATAATGATATCAACTCGAAGTAGACGATATGACAGGGTATAAAACGCTAGTCTCCTACATCGTTCCAAGTACGACATACCCCGTACCGTAAACTGGGAATGCTCCTTGCAGCTATCTGCTGGACCCGTTCGGACTATAGGCACGTAAGTCGTACTCAGGCATCGGTCTTATTTTGGAAGAGAACAGACGGTTGGCAATCTCTTCAGCCCAAGTGCAGAAGCTGCGACTAAGTTCCCAAAGCAAGCGTTGTCCGTTTCCGTGCAGTCAGTTCGTGTTGTCGACAGACTTCAGAGCACAGAGTGAGAGTACGCCGAGATCGTTTACCGAGCTAGTGGAATGCAGTGTGTGCCGCGCCAGCGTGTAGCATGCCCATTACTATCACTCCCCAAGCTCATAAACGAGGACTTTGTCGAGTTGACCCGTAGGTCAACTTCTGCAGACTACCTGGATAGGCGGTCGAGGTCCTGTTGCAGGACGTCACAGTCCCCAGGAGCATCAACAATCCTCTAAATCCTCAGGTCATCCACAAATAATACGCAGGCCTACCGAAGAAGCTGAGGTACTTTGTTGCTGTGGGTCAGGAATAAAATGGGAACAAGTACAGTGCCTTTAGGTACGCCACTAATGGAAGGGTACCAGTCTGTTAGGTGGTTATCCACCTGAATCCGACATCTTCTCCCAATAAGGAAGTCAATGATCTAATGATGCAATGCGCCATCAACACCACGCATCCTCGGCTTGAGAAGTAGAACCTCATGGTTCACCTTTGCGAAAGCTTTACTGAGGTTATTGCAGCTACTGACTTCCCTTGATTCAACGTTTGAAATCATTCCTGCCGCGTCAACAGCAGGTTGATGATGCACGAGCGGCCCTTCATGAAGCTTTGTAGTGCCGGTGTTAGGAGATCTTTTAACTCCAGCAGCTGTACAAGTGCTTTGTCACAATCTTCTCGAGCACCTTCACCAAAACACAGGTGAGACAAATGGTCCGGTAATTGTCCACACTTCGTGGGTCATCTCCTTCTGGATTTAACTTTACTACTGAGCATTACTAATACCTCGGCAATTCACCCTCGGACAGCGATCTGGTGTACAGGTCCGTCATGGTAGGCGAGATTATGGCTGACAAGGACTCCAAAATTAGCGGGTGAGGTAAATCGGTTCCTTCAGGTATCGTGCCGTCAAAACCGGCGAGTAGAATTTGGACAACTTCTACACCTCAATTAAGGCCCCTCGAGAGCAGTAATGGCTGCACACTTCGAGTTCGGCATAGGCGCATGTTCACTTGTAAATACGGAAGTGAAGTGCTCCACCAATACGAACGCAAGTTCAGTGTTGGAGGGCAGAGGCTGTCCATCAGTGCCCTCTAACATAGCTATATCACTTGTGGGCCTCTGGCGTCGCTTCACATAAGCGAAAAGCTTCTTGGGGCAGTCTTCGCTAAAGTTGCAAGCTCCTCTTCGAACTGCCAACGCTTTTGCGATGTTGCATAGATTTCACTGCCTCTTGTGTGAATCCTAAGCGTCAGCATAGCAAGATGAGGAATTTATTCCATAATTCGCATCACCAGCAATTCGATTTACCATACTCTCTGTCGAACCAATGTGGCTCCATTGGTCCAGCTTTCCGATACTTGATGGGTACGAAACGAGCACACAACCATTGCACACCATCTTTTATTAAAGGCCAACAGGCTTCAATGGATGAATGCTGCGGCAGTGACCAGTGTACTTCACTGGCGGCTCGATTGGGACCATTAAACTCTGTCTTCCAATAATTGTAGGACGGCTCCGGCGGACGCGACTAAGTCAGCCGCAGCTCTAGGCTGGCTAACACCATCGAGTGGTCACTAGCTGCCAGAGGTTCCAGGACCTGAATTTCATGTACAGGTTGCTCTCAACTGGTTAATAGTAGGTCTAAACACAATGGAGCCGAATGCAGTAAAACGCGCGTCGGTTGACATACATGTAGCGCTGCCCTAATTTATCAAAACGCATATTTCTCAACAGTGCGAGTTGCAGTCCAAGTACATAGACTGATCATATAGTATAACAGGATCTCAAAGAGCGTATGTTATTTCAGATTTTCCGAACGAGTTCAAAATCAGGTTTATAAAGAGTTCATTTGGCATAGATATTAAAAAAGAGGAGGGCTTGGAAGCAGGAAGAAAGCGATTATTAGAAAAAGCACAATAGATTTACTACGGCTATACCTGGAACCGATTCCTGGGGACCTGTTTCCATTCGGCGTGTTCCATCGAATGATTTCATTTACACTTCCACATCGCATTTGGTTTCATGTCATTGTAGCATAGCAGCAAGCAAGTTATCACTATACTAGTGCGTTTTTATGACCGTTTGTATATAAAATGAGCAATAGGCTCGCAAAGCTAAGTGAGCCCTCATGTTTTTGGTTTTTTACATACTCTTTTAGACCATTTATCCCAATTTGGCTTTTCACTCTTTCAAGTCTGACATCTTTTCCACTCAAGGAGTGTGTGCTAATTTGCCTTGAGTAGGCATAATGTTTTCACGCCAATAGGCATGTGAAAATTTGCCTTATGTGGGTGTATTAAATAATCCGGAAGCTTCATTCCATCACCTCAGGAGATCAGCTCAGTCGTAGTCAACAATGGAAAACAAAAGTATAAAATGTGGCGAAATACAAATAAAGGTAATTGATTGGCATATATCCAACATGTTCTACTTCAGGTTGTAAATAGAGAGTACATAGAAAAAATAAAATTAAGGATAAGACTGCTTTGTTAACGATTCTGAGGTATATCCAGCGACTCCAGACAATCAGATTGTATAATACTTGGTGCGGAATTTGGATTTCACAGAGCATCAAGAACTGCCACAGATAGTTGCGTTGTTTTCTATGGAATAGTAGTAATAACAATTAGCAGTGCGGAGCAAGTGTAAAGCAAGAAAAAAGATTAGTTTTGCGCAGCGAAAACGGGATAAGATATGTTGGAATGATAATAAGCTTACTGGATAAACTAAACGGGTGAGATCGTGTTCAGACAGTTTGCACATATTATCGTGTATTTTCCCTGTGTAC